GCGAGGCTGGCGGTGGCGCTGAGCGCACCTACCACAGTCCCCGCGCGGGGCACCGCCCATTCTCCTCCCCTCGTCCTCCCGGTCCAGCTAGTGCAACTGCGAGCGCACTCGGAAGTAATTTGACAGTCTTTGTAAGAGAATTTTAAAGAATTCATCATTTTAATATCATTTTACCTGTTTCCTTATTTAGAGAGCCATGTTGTATTTAATAATCACATACACATGTAATATAGTTTTATCTTTATCTTTGTCAGTCTTAAATACTAAAAATCAGTGATTGATTTTTTTAACATGCATCTGCATTTCACTAAGTATATTTTAAATGTAATATTAAATGCATATGTATATTTCTGTTTCTGCCCTGTAATGATTTTAACAATTCTTTTTTTTTTCCTTTTATTTTTTTTAATTAAATCTTTATTGTTCTGAGTGACCCTGGTTACAAGCCAACTCTTTTGAAATAAATTATAATAAAGTATAGTTTAAGAAAGAGAACAAAGTTAGATACAGAACTTTTCAACTCTAAGACTTCACATGACTTTGCCAGCACTTCTTTACTTCAAGTTACCACTTCTTTTACTAACAAGATTACACAAAGAGGTTTTTACAAAATATTTGATTAGCAAATATTTTTTTATATGGCTCAGTCCAACACATAGACTTGAGCTACATGAAGCTACATAAAGGAACCACATACAAAGTACATAAAAGCCATACACTGGGAAACTCGCTGGGTCCCTAGTCCCCGTCCAGTGCAGTTCCTCGTGGTCTCCCATCGATAACCACCTTTAACTAGTTTCCTGCTTATCCTTCCAGTCCTTCTGTAAATATAAGCAAATGTGAATACATGTACTTATTTCCCTCCATCCCACCTTCACTATTCTCTGCATTTATACCTGTTAATTTACACATATTCCATCCCCACCCTACCTGCACTTCTACCCAGCTGACTACAAGTTCAGGGATTTCCACAACTACCCACCCTCTTCCACAGGGATGATCATTCTTTTTTTTTCTTTTTCTTTTTTAATTAATTGAAGAGAGGAAAAGAGGGAGAGAGATTGAAACAGCAATGATGAGAGAGAATCATTGATCAGTTGCCTCCTGCACACCCCCTACCGGGGATTGAGCCTGCAACCCAGGCATGTGCCCTGACTGGGTATTGAACCCATGACCTCCTGGTTCATCATGGTTCATAGGTTGACACTCAACCACTGAACCACACCGGCTGGGTGACAGGAGTGATAAATCTTTAGAATGATGGACTATTCAAGAGAGTGCTATACTTACTATTATAATCTATAATAATAAAAGCGTAATATGCTAACTAGACTGGACAGCCGAACGACCTTCCAAATGTCATTCTGGATGAAGCTGCGGCAGTGGGGGCCGATGCAGAGGCAGTTAGGGGCGATCAGGCAGGCAGGCAAGTGGTTAGGGGTGATCAGGCAGGCAGGCGAGCTGTTAGGAGCCAGCAGTCCCGGATTGTGAGAGGGATGTCCAACTGCCAGTTTAGGCCCAACTCTGGCAGTCAGACATACCCCAAAGGGTCCCAGATTGCGAGAGGATGCAGGCCGGGCTAAGGGGGACCCCCCTCCCCCCCCCACGTGCAGAATTTCGTGCACTGGGCCTCTAGTTTTATTATAAAGAGTACAACTGAGAAACAGTCAAATGGAAGAGATACATAAAGCAAGTATAGGGGACAAGGAGTGCAGATCTGGGTGTGCCACCCTCTCAGCACCTTGGTGTATTCACCATCTTGGAAGCCTCTTGAGCCTGATTGTTTAGGGTTTTTTATGAGATGTCATTGAGCTGGCATGATTGATTAAATCACCGGCTATTTGAACTCAAATCTCTAGTCCCTCTCCCCTTTCTGGGAATCAGTGGATGGGCCTGAAAGTCCCTGCCTATAATCACCTCGCTGGTTTTTCTGGTGACCACCCTGTATCTGGAGGCTGTATAGGACCTCCCAACCATGCCAAGACTCAGCCCTAGTGGAAAGGAACTCATGAATAATAGAAGACGCTGCTATCAGGAAATTCCAAGGGTTCAGGAGTTATGTAACAGGAAACAGACAATGATTAAATATATTTTTATTATACCACAAAAGTAATAAAATTAACACACATACCTAATATCTAATTATCAGACTCTACTTGTTCCTGTCTGGTGGAAAAAGAATGGAATATTTTTCTCATGTTAATTGTATTTTCTTGATAACTAAGAGTTGAATATCTTCATGTTTCTTGTTCCTACATCAATAAAATGCCTTCTATATCTTTGTGCACTTTTCTGTTGCGCTATTTGTTGTTGTTTTTTTTTCTTACAGATGGATAAGAATTAAATGAAAGTAAGATGTATCTGTTAATGAACTGTCCTCTTTTATATCTCATTTAAGAAATTCTTCCCAGTTTTCAGAGTAAAAAATATATTCTCGTATTTTTAATGAGTGTTTTACTTTATTTAACAATAAATATGTGCATGATCCTGAACCTGTCAGATGTGAAAATAAAGTGTAGTTAAGCATAGGAAATGGTTTTTGTCCCAAACACTAAAAAAAAAAATTCCTTTCAAAGCAATTCAATAAAAACCAAACTAATGAGCCTTTTAAGAAATCATTTCTAATTTGGAATAGGGGTTTTGGATATCTTGGAAAAAAGCTGTACTGTGAGTTGACAATTGTTGAATCTGATTGGGTATATTAATTTTATAGGTTTTGGTGGTTTATTTTGTTAATACATGCAGATTACATCACTTGGATAATTGGGCCTATAGTGACTACTTTCGTGTGTATGTGTGTGTTAAGATTTTGTACTTAGAATTCCATTTGTTCAACAGGAGTGGTGATATATCAGGTAACATACAAAAAATTAATAGATTGGAAAGTCAAACTTTTTTTATTTACTATTATGAAAATTTTTGCACTGCCTGGGTAGCTCAGTTGGTTAGAGTGTCATCCTGATACACCAAGGTTTCAGGGTTCAAGCCCCAGTCAGGGCACATACAAGGATCAACCAACAAATGCATAAATAAGTAGAACAACAAATCAATGTTTCTCTCTCTCTCTAAAATCACAGGGAAAGAATTTCAACATAGAGAATAGTAAAATGAACCCAACAACCTAACACCTAGCTTTAAGCATTAATAATATTTGGCCAAATTTTCTATTCCTTTATCCCCTCCCTTCCCACCACAAAAAACATTTCACGCACACCTCCCCCGCCCCGCCCAAACACACACCCCACTTCCTACCAGAATTGTTTTAAAGAATCTTGATCATCATATTTCATTTAATAACTAGTATTTGGATTTTTAAATTTTTTTCAAAAAAATGATTTTTCACACTTGGTTCTTTGAATTAGGATCTATACTGTGTCTATACATTTCATTTGGTTGATTTTTTTGGTATCTCCTTTAATATATAACAGACTCTCCCTTTAAAAGTGGATGACTAAGTTAAAGTTTGACTTTTTTGTGGGGGAGACAAAAAAATAGTTCTTATATGGTAGTTTATAAACGCTACTACATACATATCAGGAGGTGAAAGGCTTCAATAATATTTTGAAATGGTGTCCTGATACATATGAGTTAAGAATTATAAAGCAATAATATTATTCCCGTAAGCTATATTCCTCTGTAGTCTTATCACCTCCAACCTCCCTGTTTTTTTGTTTGTTTTGTTTTTTTTAATATATTTTATTGATTTTTTACAGAAAGGAAGTGAGAGGGATAGAGAGTTAGAAACATCGATGAGAGAGAAACATCAATCAGCTGCCTCCTGCACACTCCCCACTGGGTATGTGCCCGCAACCAAGGTACATGCCCTTGGCCGGAATTGAACCTGGGACCCTTGAGTCCGCAGGCCGATGCTCTATCCACTGAGCCAAACCGGTTAGGGCCAACCTCCCTGTTTTTACAGATGGGCAAAATAAGGCCCAGAGAGTTAAATATCTGCCAAAGGCCAAAGCAGCTAATTTAATGGAAGGTAGGGCTCTTCTTCACCTTAAACTACTTTTAAAAATTTGCCTCACTTGCATATGCCATAATCTGAAGGTATTTGTGCATCCAAAAAGAAGAGGCAGTCAGGATGGCATTTCTGCCTGTCCAGCTAGCTTTTGTGACTGAGAAGGTAAAACATTGTACATTGTAAACTTTCAACACCCTTTGAGTAGTCCTGTGTTTTGCATTGCCAGTGTGATAGCTAAGACTTGAGTTTGGAAGTCAGAGAGAGAGGCCTTAGGTAGGACTAAGCCTGAAGCCTGGTAAATCCAGGAATGGAAGAATGCAAAGAAATCTTTATAGGCTACAATAGTAGTCAGTTATTTAGTCCTAAATAATTTTTATTTGTGGTATTTGTTCACCTCATTTATTTTTATACTGGTATGCTTTTTCCCATTTTAGTCCCTGCTTGTCTTATAAATAACCGAGTTAATGTTAATTTGAATAAAATAAATTATGTAACAAAATATAGATAGTGAACACTAGAGGGAAGTTACATTCCTCTACTGATTACATAACTGAGCAGATGCTGTAAAATCAGTGATGCGAAAAAGTCATCTGCAGCCTGGTTACACTTCACTGAAATATCTCAGAGTTGTTTTATCTGATGTATAAACGTAGTCTGTAGTGGTAGGCTCACTGCTTTCTTTTTCAGTGACTCCCACTGCACTGATAGGAATTTGCAAAACCAACGATTGTCAGCATATGACAAATTATCTTTTTAAAAAAAACCTTTTTAAAAAATATACTTTTTATTGATTTTAAAGAGGAGGGGGAGAGAGATAGAAACATCAATGATGAGAGAGAATCATTGATCAGTTGCCTCCTGCATGCCCCCTACTGGGGATAGAACCTGCATGTGCCCTCACCTGGAATCCAACGGTGACCTCCTGGTTCATAGGTTGACACTCAACCTCTGAGTCATGCCAGCCAGGCT